GATACCACAGAGTTAGTGTTTTATCATCAACAAAGAGTCTCCAGCTTGGGTATTTGACTAGGACCAGGGACACTCAAAAGGAGCTGTCAGCAGGCTGAATTGTAGGGGAAAGGCTTCTGTTTTGGGAATTTAGAGACTGGAAGCTTGGCTTTGCCTCCATTTCCTGCCTCATTAATCAGCAAAGTCCATCTTTTAAGGATTGATTCATGTCCCCTGAGATATATGTCCTTGGAGAAGTCTGTAACAAGTGAGTGAGGTGATGTGGGGTCCCTGAGACTGTAGGAAGTCCTGTAGTGCTAGTGTCTTGAGGAGATGTGGCCCTGGATGGCTCTGTCTCTGTCTCTGTCACAGGCATCAAAGTCCTTGTGAGGACATTAAAAGAAAGTGAACAGTCAGGAAGAGAGTCTAAAACAGATGACACTCTAGACTTCCTGGCTTCCAGAGCTTTGATTTTAAAACTATTCCATAAATTTGTCTACCAGCGCAAGACATCTGTGTTCTCCATGGCAGTGCAGGGAAACTAAGTCACCAAACCAGCTCTCCCTGAGCAGGATCAGCCTTAGGAATTGACATGTAGTTTGGACATGTAGCTGCAGACTTGTTTATCTTCTTCTTGCTGCTCCAATCATGATGAGGAAGCAGGACTCAGGTTCCATTCTCAGTGAGCTTGAATTCAAGAAAGTTTCCTAGCAGTTGAAGGTGAAACCCTGCTTAGTTTTTGGATCAGAATCAGAAAAACATCAACTAAATTGGATGAATTACTGGCGTTGTTTGTAGATGTACATGTATTTTTATTCTTCTGTAAGGGACTGAGAAGATCCTTTTTATCCAAACATTCTTTTCTCTATATGGCCCTCAGCACAGAATTTATACTGCCTCTCCTGACTTGTAAATGACATATCAACATACTCTGGTGAGTCAGGGTTGTGACAATACTTTAGATTTGCATAGCAAAGAGAAGTCTATCTAGGTAAAATAAAAAAGAAGTATGTATGTATACATTTGTGCATTTCATTTATTTATTTTTATTATAATAGCTTTCATTGTAGAGATGCTTCATCTCCTTGGTTATGCTTATATATTCTTATTTTTGAAGGAAATAATTTCATAATTTCAGTTTTCACCATTTAGTATGATGTTGACAATAGTTTTGCCACATATCTTTTATTGGGCTGAGGTAATTTTTTTCTATCCCTAGTCACTTGAGAGATTTTTATCAATCATTTTCTCCAATCTATGGCAACGTTTAAAGTTGTTATCTTTTTATATTTTGTGACGCTTCTCTGTATCCAACTTGCCAAACACAATGACCATTACTAAGCCTTTACAAGTGCACCACACCTGAGAAGAGCAGACCATCACCTGATAAGCAGTTGAGGGCAAATGGCCAGCAGGACTCATCAGCAACTTCCAATCCTGAAACCCTTCCATGCCTAGTTGTGTAGCAAAGGACTGTGGTTCCTGAAGCTATATTTTGTCCTGTTTTGAGAAGTATAAATTTAAATCCCAGTGTTCTACAAGGCTGATGTATCTACAAGAGGCCAGTGCAGTTAGTTCATGCCTGAAAACCTACCTACACAGAAGGCTGAGATCTGCTGTTCCCAGTTCAAAGCCAGCCCAGGAAAGGAAAGTACAAGAGACTCTTTCCTCCAGTTAACCAACAAAAGGACAGAAAGGGAGATGTGGCTCAGGTGGAAGAGGGCTGACCTTGAGTAAGAAAGCTCAGGGCCATGGCCCAGACCCTGAGTTTAAGACTGAAGACACACCTACACACCCCTCCCTCCCCCCCCCTGCTGCACAAAGTATATAAATGCATAAGATGAGGCTTTTTATGGTTGCTCATCCTTGGTGGGGGATATGAAAGGATGAGATTTCAGTATTTCTTTTGAGCTATATCATTTATAACTCATATACAGGATTGAAGTTACAACCTACTGGGAAATTTACCTGTGTTAGTCCTCTCCCCTTCCATGTGATTGGCATATAATTTCAGTTAGGAACTTTCTTCCAGTAATGGTATCTGAAAGAGTTTAGAAAGGAATAAAAGAAGTAATTTACAAATAACATTTATAAGATAATTTCTTTGTTGCTTTGTATGTCCCTCCTTCAAGGTATAAACCATGATTTCACTGTATTTGATGTTGGTATAATTTGGAGAAGGGAAGGGAAAAAACAAATTTTTAAATAGGGATACAGGTGGACCATTGTACTAATGAGATGTACAAGACGTTATGTCAAAAAATGAACTTTACAACTTTTGTGCTGGGGGTGGGTAGTGAGGGCAGGGGTCCTGGGAACAGGAGGGGGGGGCGATGGGAATTTGTGGGAAGAGGAAAGAAAAGAGGAGGCAACAATGCTTGATAAGAAATGTACTCATTACTTTGGTCATGTAATTGTAAACCCTCTGTATGGTATTTTCACTATAAAAAACTTATTTAAAAATAATATATAATACCACATATATAGTATATATGTGCACATCAGAGGGAAACTAGGAGGAGGACACAGAAACAGAGGGAAACAGGGGAAAATATACAACAGTGGGACCTATCAGCTACAGTGGACATTGGTCAAAATGAACAAAGCAACTCAATGGAAGCAATGGGAGGGAGGGAATGAGCAGGAAAGAGGGAAAAGCTTACCCTAAGCAAAAGGAAAGAAATGTATATATCACCCCATGTGGAAGAAATAACTGTATTGTCAAAGCTCATAGAATTAACAAACTTTATGAACCATGATAATTTACCCTACGAAGGTTAGAATGTGTTTGTGACAATAAATATCACTTACTTTGTGACTATAAGTATCCCAATCCTGTGAAATTTGTGAAATTTATGTAATCACTTAATCACAATAAAAATTCCTATAATAAATTTTAATAGAAGAAATTTTGTGTAACCCATAAGAAAATGTCGCAAAGAGTGGCCAATAGCAACAGAAATGTATGTTCTTCAGGCTGAGTGGAATTTGAATTCCTTTGTACAACTCTGAACCAGCATTCAGTTTCTGAGTAGATACTGATGAAGCTTAAGGGAAGACTTAAGCTTGAGTGTTTGTTATACTGAGACATGAACACAGCTCTTGCTGGGTCCTGCTATGAGGTGTGGAGTCCTGGCTGTGGCTGCCCAAGGGAATGCAGGCAGGACAAGGAGGGTCTAATACAGAGTTAATAACTTTTCCAGGAGCTGACTCTGTAGAAAGATTAAAAAATAGATGTTGCCATTGTCTGACTAAGTGAACGTAACTGGCGTTCTTATTCTTACTGTCTTATAGAAGAGAGAGAAATATTAAGAATGCTGTTGTTAGTCTGGTGAAGAGTTATGCCGAAGAAGTGTAATCCCATATTTACTGATTGTGAAAATGCCTATGTAAAATTTAGTTTTCTGGAGTTGGGAAGGTGGCTCAGTGGTAGAGCGCTTGCTTTGCACACATGAGGCCCTGGGTTCGATTCCCCAGCACCACATAAGCAAAAAGAAAAAAAAGCCAGAAGTGGTGCTGTGGCTCAAGTGGTATATCACTAGCCTTGAGCTGAAGAGCTGAAGGACAGCACTCAGGCCCAGAGTTCAGGCGCCACGACTGGGCCCCCCCCAAAAAAAATTTAGTTTTCTCTGCCGTTTTTCTCTTTCATGTAGAAATGTTATTAGTTTACCCTCTGTAAGGAGGATTTTATCCTCAGGTTTATTTTGTTTCAACACAAGTAATCATAAGGAACTTAATTTATTACGCCCTCAATGAAAAACCTTAATTTTTTTTTTTATCACTTGTAGGGATTGAACTCAGGACCTGGGCATTAATCCTGAGCACTTTTGCCCAAGGCTAATGCTCTACCACTTTCTGCGACAGCACCACTTCCAATTTCTGAATGATTGATTGGAAATAAGAGTCACAAGGGGAATTTTCTGCCTGGACTGGCTTTGAACCATGTCCTCAGAACTCAGCCTCCAGAATAGCTAGGATTACAGACATGAGCCACCAATGTCTGGTTTATAAATAATATCTCTAACAGGTGTTGATAACTTGCTAACCATAAGTTAACTTACTTTCAGTGATATCAGATTAACTGAAGTAGGTATTTGATTTCCTTACTTAATTCAAACCACAGTGGTATTGCATAGAAGTCTTGAGAGACAATGGCAAATGAAGTCTCTATACAGTACTTTTCTCTAGAATAACTAGAAGAGGGCCAATCAAATTGACCCTTCACCAAGACTCTCTTGGACACACATTTCAATTGAATTAGGCCTCTAGTGTTTTAAGTTGCAGGGTCAAGTATACCACATCCTCCCTGCAGATCCAGGCATCAGGGGAGAGGGGTCCTTCTACCCACTGCTGGAGCCAGCCTGGTATTTGTGGGTCTTTTCTCCAAACACAGAAGAAATTTAAGTCACTTTCTTCACCAGAGAGATGCCCTTGCCCTTTGCTTTATTCTTCTCACACTGCTGCACCCACCTGCTGATTTGCATAGTGCTCCCCAAGGAGGACTTTCCAGCCTTAGTTTGACATAAAGGCTCTTCTTGACCTTGACTTCACTGAACAAATCTCCTGGATTCCCAGCTAAAATGTTCTTGGGTTCTGGGTCTCCTAATGCTCTGGATCACTGGTAAGGACAGAGGGGAATGAAGATGGAAAAAGGGGTTGAGGGTGAGTCCTCAGGGCCAATGCTTCTTGTTTGTATTCTGTTCATGGGTTAGATGCACAGAACTTGTCCTCTAGAATGGGGCAGGTGAAGTTAATTATATAAGAGTGATGAACATTCTAGATGGAACCAGGTTCTGAGCTTTGGTGACAACTATGACAACTGTGCAGTGGGTAGTATACATGAGATCTAGAACCTCATTTATGCTTTTTAATATTTGCATATGTTTTGAAATATTGAATGGTTTTAGGATAGAAGGAAAATCATGAAAAGGATTGAGAATTAATATATAACCACAGAAAAATTTATATATCACATATAACCTTGTACTTTTCATTTATTTTTATTTCAGGGTCCAGCGGTGATATTATAATGACTCAGACTCCACTCTCCCTGCCTGTCACCCTGGGAGAGACGGTCTCCCTCTCCTGCAGGTCAAGTCAGAGCCTCTTATATAGCTCTATCTTGGTACTTGCAGAAGCCTGGCCAGTCTCCAAAACTCCTAATATATTGGGCTTCCAAAAGACCATCTGGGGTCCCAGACAGATTCAGTGGCAGTGGGTCAGGCACAGATTTCACACTGCAAATCAGCAGGGTGGAGGCTGAGGATAGTGGGGTTTATTACTACATGCAAGATAAAGATACTCCTCCCACAGTGATACAGTCCTTAACAAAAACATCTCTGTAGGGCTTGGCCCAGCTGTCCTATTTCAAAGGTTTCTGGGGAGCAGCATAGCAAATTCTCTGAAACAAAGCAGTAGTCTTAGTTTGGAGGACTTGACAGATGATGTCATACCAGAGACCTTGTCCATGTGTGATCTTGGATTACTTCAGCTTCCAGGGACTCCCAGAACCAGAATTTATAATGTTACTGCAGAAGTCAATTTATCACTTATTCCCAAATGTGAAAGACAAAGACAAAACATCTACCAGCAGCATGCCATTTCTATAGTTTGGAGAGAATTACAGAGTCAAATCTCATGCAGAATGACTCAAGAAGCAGTAGTAGCTAGGAATTGAAGAATGAATCACAAAGCTAGGCTTATAAGTGAGAAAGATTTTTCAATAGGAATGTTTCTGAGTATCAACAAATTAATAGAATATGTTTGTTAGATATAAGGCAAGTTAATTATATGATTCAGATGTTAAAACCTTATTGCTTAATCAACCCATGATTCTTTTTTTATTTTTTAATTTTTAATTTTTTTATTGTGAAAATACTATACAGAGGGGTTACAATTACATGGGCAAGATAATGAGTACATTTCTTTTTTAATTTTAATTTTAATTTTTTGTGAACATACTGTACAGAGGGGTTACAATTACATGGGCAAGATAATGAGTGCATTTCTTATCAAGCATTGCAGCCTCCTCCTTTGTTTACCCTTCACATCCCTTCCCATCCTCCTCCCCCCTCCCCCCTCCCCCACCCCCTGGGGCCCTCCCCCTCCCACCAAAGTTGTAAAGTTTGCTTTCGACATAACGACTTGTACATCTCATTGTTACAATGAGTCCACCTGTATCCCTATTTAAATGATTTGGTTTTCCCCTTACCCTCCACAAATTATACTGACATCAAATACAGTGAAAGCAGGGGTTATACTGTGGGGGAGGGACATACAAAGCAACAAAGAAACAATCTTATAAATGCGTTAGAAACAATTGCATGAAAGAAAAAAAAACATTTGAATAAGTATCTTAGGGTTCATTTCCCTAACATCACCTTATCTGAACTTTTCTGCTTGACTCAGACATATACTAGATATTGCAAATAAGGGAAACCATGGGACCTATGTTTCTTTGGGCCTGGCTTACTTCACTTAATATAATTTTTTCCAAGGCTTTCCATTTCCTAACAAACAGGGCAATGTCATTCTTTCTGTTGGAGGTATAGAATTCCATTGTGTATATATACCACGTTTTCTTGATCCATTCATCTACTGAGGGGCATCTGGGTTGGTTCCATATCTTAGCTATAGTAAATATTGCTGCCATAAACATAGTGGTGCTGTAGCTTTAGTGTGGTCTTGATTGTAAACTTTTGGGTAAATGCCCAAAAGTGGGATTGCTGGGTCATAGGGGAGCTCTATGTGGAGTCTTTTGAGGAACCTCCATACTACTTTCCAAAGTGTCAACCCACGATTCTTAAAATCCCATTAGTATTACTTTTTAATTGTGAAAATACCATACAGAGGGGTTACAATTATATGATCAAGGTAATGAGTACATTTCTTATCAAGCATTGCTGCCTCCTCTCTTGTTTCCCCTTCCCATCCCTGCCCTCCCATCTACCCTTTTGCCCCCTCCCCAAAATTGTAGAGTTCACTTTTTGACATAACGTCTTGTATATCTTATAGTTGCAATGGGTCCACCTGTATCCCTATTTAAACAACTTTTTTCCCTTCCCCTTCCCAAATTATACCGACATCAAATATAGTGAAAACAGGGGTTTCCTTGGCACAGGCCCATTATTTTTTAACAAAGCTACAAATTGAAGTTTGACTCTGCATAATGCTATTCTCCATGTGTGCTTCCTCTGGTCCTCCTCTAATGGAAGCCTTTTCTCACCTGTCTCTTACAGGTTAGAAGAATATTTTTTCCCTTCCAAAACCCTACCATTAGATGGCAAACAAGCACCACAATGCGCAAAGGCTTCCCCTGAGACTTGAGTATGTATTGGATTTTCTCTCAGAAAATGCACAGACCACTCAGACATCCAAAGTAGACCCCTGCTATTTCCCTCAGCACAGGCATCATCTTTGGAAAGGATTACCCTTACCAGTTTCTCTGTTACATTTAAGTTCTCCTAATCTCTCTGTCACTAATAGATCTAAAATATCTCAACTTCCACTGGTGGTAAAACATGAAATAGCCTCATAGCTGTGCTGGGAGAAGTTCTATACTTACTGAGTCCCAAACAGACAGAAAACATTTATAAAATTATCCACTGACTATCTCATGACTTCTACTAAGGAAGCATTTGAATATCTAAAGGAACCACAAACCACACAGAGAATTGATTTTAGTGCCAGGGGTAGACAAAACTATTGAACAAATGCTATTTCTGCTGCTGCTCATGCCAACACCACTCCATGAAGCAAGGCAATGTCAGGTGAGACAGGGCTTATCCATGTGTGTCCTGATTGACCTGAAAATCTCCATATTCCTTCTGTGTCTCCCTGAGTGATTAGGATTACACATAGGCAGTGTCTGTGGTAGGAACAGTCCTTTCATCTCAAATAGCTTATATGTGTTTTTTACAGTGTGTCACAATCTATCAATGTTACACCTTACATATTAAATAAGAATACTTCTTTTAAACAGAACTTTGAAGACATTTTAGGAAAACAAATAAACAGAAAACACTTTGCCCTGGTTTACATGGCAGCTAGCATATGAGACATCAATGACATAGTGACCCTGAGATCCCTGTGTGCAGATCAGTTTCTTACTCTATGTGCACAACAGATCTTTTTTAAAATAAGATTTTTTATTGTGAAAATACTGCACAGAGGTGTTACAATCACATGAGCAAGGTAATAAGTACATTTCTTATCAAGCATTGTTGCCTCCTCCTTTGTTTTTCCCCTACCATTCCTGCCCTCCCATCTCCACAACTACATTTCCCTCTTTCTTCCCTCACCCCACGCCTAAATTATAAAGTTCATTTTTTGACATAGCATCATGTACATCTCAAGGGTTAACGTGTATCTCAATTTAAACAATTTGTTTTTTCTCTTTCACTTCCCAAATTATACCAACATCAAATACAGTGAAAACAGGGATTATACCATGGGGAGGGTCATACAAGAAAATTACATGGAACCTGTTAAATACTTTAGAAACCATTGCAAGGAAGAAAAAAAACACCTTTGTCCCTGTCGTGGGGTTCATTTCGCTGACCTTTTCTGCTTGTCTCTGATATAAACTAGTTATTGCAAATAAGGGAACCCATGGGACTTATGTTTCTTTGGGCCTGGCTTACTTCACTTAATATATTTTTTTCTAAGTCTTTCCATTTCCTAACAAGTGGGGCAATAACATTCTTTCTGGTGGAGGCATAGAATTCCATTTTGTATATATACCACATTTTCTTGATCCATTCATCTACTGAGGGGCATCTGGGTTGGTTCTGTATCTTAGGTAGGGTAAATAATGCTGTATTAAAAACATGTGCTGGTAGCTTTAGTATCATCTACACAAGAGATCTTTATCAATATAATTCCTACCTGAGGCTCAGGGCATAACAGTATTATTACACAATTTTTTTTATTTTAAGCTAATTTTTTATTGTGAAAATACTGTACAGAGGGGTTGCAATTACATGGGCAAGATAATGAGTACATTTCTTATCAAGCATTGTAGCCTCCTCCTTTGTTGACCCTTCCTATCCCTTCCCATCTTCCCACCCCCCGTCCCCCCACCCTTATTACACAAATTGTGAAGTAGTTGATCTCCACTCTCATATCCCCTCTTCTTTCCTCCTGAAACATAGCCATTCTTAAAATGTCTTGGTCTCAAACCAAGGTGTTGGGACGTTGTGTGCACCAGGAGTGGATGTGTATCAAAAGACAGGTCCACCTTCAAAGTTCTTCTCATTAAATGCAGGTGAATAGAAAGGCATGAGTTTTATACATTCATTATAGCTTGTTTTGGCGTCAGAAGTGTGATATTTCAGGCCTCAGATACATCATAACCAGGGTCGAAGTTGGTGAATCTCTCAAATCCAGATCCACATGCAGTTCATTTAGTGAAGGATGATGAAGAGAACCCTGACTTTGGCAGGGACTTTCCCTGTGTGTGAGCTTCTGACTATGAGGAGCAGTGTTATTTTGTGTGCCTGCAGCAGCTGCTTGGACTCACAATGATGAGAGGTTGATTCACTGTCATGTAAATGTCTTTCTAGTGGCTCCCCAGATGTGACATCCTGCACTAGGATGGACAGTGTCTCCACACGCTGGTCCTGATGTGGGAGCCATCCGCACTGAGCTCTGCCTTCACTGTCTGTGGCAGTTTTTCCTTCCTTCCCATGCTAAGGATGTCTTCTCCATTCCTTGTGGCTTCATTGCCTTGCTCACCCTTTACTGTGTTTCCTTTCATCAAATCTGAACCTGCTGGGACCACAAGTTCTAACCCAGTTACTAAAAAAATGTTATTCTGAACTGGAAGAGACGATAGCATAAGAACATCAAGGTTTATGAAGCAGAAGAGACTAAAGTAGATATGAGTTCTTGGTTTAGGGAACATCTTATCTTTGAAGGGGGTCTTTTGGGGCTATTGATCGGAGACAGGAATGTTACCTGAGAGATATGGAGACTGCTAGCTCAGAAATTCATGAAGATCACCAAGCTACACATTTAGCCATGTCTTTTAAATCTTTCCCACCCTGCTGATTTTCATGTGCCCTGAGCACAGCCCACTGCCCTGAGAAGGCTTCATAGGCTGTCCACACCCTATGCAGAAGGTTCCAGTCAGCAAACAGCTTGGACATCAAGGCCCCTGCTCAGCCCCTGGGGTTCCTGCTGTTCTGGCTCCCAGGTAAGGAAGAACAATGCTGGGGATTACTCACTTAGTGTTAACAGAGCAGCTTGAAGCTTCGTGGAAGTACTTGGATAATATCATTAATTAAGTGACTAATTGTTTTAATGTTTCCAATGTCAGGTGCCCATTGTGATGTCCAGTTGACCCAGTCGCCATCCCTGCCTGCATCTCTGGGAGAATCACCATCACTTGCAAAGCCAGTCAGGTCATTAGCAATTATTTACATTATTAGCAGCAGAGAGCAGGGAAAGCTCCAAAGCTCCTGATTTATTTTGCACCTACTTGGCAATCTGGGGTCCCATGGAGGTTCAATGGAAGTGGATCTGGCACAGAGTTCACTCTCTGCATCAGCAGCCTGCAGCCTGAAGATTTTGCCACTTACTACTGTCAGCAGGGTAATTAGTTACCTACCCCTGTGACACCAGTCATAACAAAAACCTCCCAGGGAAGCAGAAGTGAGAGCCTGGGCTGTCCCAGATGCTTACCCTGGTGCTTCAACTGCTTACAGAACATTTCAGATGCAGCCCCCTTTGTAAGGTCACTGGAAAGCATTGGGAGATAGGTTCTGGAGTCAACTGCATACTTTAACTGTCTGTCCTCCTGCTCATCCCAAGCAGCACACACCTGACACTGCCTCTTCTGTGACTTACAAAGAACATTGCTCTGTACTCATGTATGGTCCAGTCTGTCCTACAATTCTGCAGTCAGTCAATAACAAAGCCATTCTAGATATGTCAGGGCAAATTTTTAAAGGCAAGGAAAAATACCTTGTGAAAACCATTTAGAAAACTACTTTTTTAAAGAAAAATATTCGTTAAAATTTTTTAAATTCAATTTTATATTGCCATGGAATAATTTTATTTGAAGTACAATATGATGTTTGGGGATGCTAAATAATGTAATAAAAAAGTGAGTTGAGTACCTTCAACATTTATCAATTTCCTGTCAGGGAATTTTATTTCCAGCAAATGTATTTTTTTTAAATACTAATTCCAACTCTCATGTCAAAACATACAACATTTTAATCTAGTTCTCAGAAAATTTAATTTGATACTGAGTATGATATTATTGTTTTACACTGCCATTGTTTAAACTTTCGAAAGTAGAGTGGAAAAAAGTTTTTAAATAACTTCAGGAAATATCAAGAAAAAAATCACTAAAACTTTGCATCAGGTTTCGGAAGGTTTGAACATATATTTTCTGGTCCTTGATCTTAGAGGTGTTATTCAGAGAGCAGATATCAAAAGCACCCTTGGCTTCTGGTCTAGTTCAAATAAATGCAAACTGAAGAATGGAAATAAATATATGTGAATAAATAAAATACATTTAAGACACTTGTGGAGTCATGCACTAGGTACAGTTACATAGTGACCCATATTATATCTGTATTTATCAGAGTAATCAGAAGTGACTTCCATATATCCTACAGACATGCATTCTTACACATGGAAATCTATATGGAATGGAGAAGTTGGATTGGGAGGGATAGGGCAGAATGATGAAAGACTGATAGGTAAAGATGAATTTTATTTATCAACTTGCTTGTTTAACGGACATAATTTTATACAACTCCTTATAGATATTAAAAATAGAATAAAGACAAGAAAGGTGTATGTCCACACTCTCACCTCTGTCCAAGTTCCTTGCATATTGTGGATCAATAGGATTGAGTTCCTTCCACCTTCCAATCTTATATGTGATTAGAAGATGTCCCATCTCATTCAGAATATAAACAGGAAAGCAGAGAGGGAGAACAGTGCTGGGGAATGTATTTCCTGAAGAGACTATGCAGATGGGAGCCCACAGCTGATGACCCAGTGAAGTTACCACCCAACTCTCAGAATATATCCAGGACAGCATTGCCCAAGACCAGGTACACACATGCCTCTTCCTATTAGCAACTTGTAACCATAGCAAGAGTTTCAGGAAATCTTAATTCATGGAAAAAGAGATATTATCATGAAATATGTAAGGGACCATTCTCAAATAGAAACATTTCTTGACAAAAAGGAAGCAAACACAACTAAACATGTATGTAGTAGTATTTTCTTTCCTACTCAGAATGTATCCAGAATTCAGGATCATCAAAAGCATCCCTGAGAGCATGGTACAAATACAATATTATAAATCCACTTCAAATCTACTGAGTGTGAATCTGCCTTTCAGCAAGTTACCAAGTAATCTCTGTAAGGTTTAAGAAGTTGTATTTAGAAGAAGAGTGTCACAGGTAGAGAGATGCTTTTTACTCTTCAATTAGCCTATAAGAGCACTTCTATTTAAACCACATTTCTCTCTCACACACTCACACAAATGTGTGTGTGCGCACATACACAAACATGACACACCTGTGTCAGTCCTTTTCTTTAACAAAGTAGCTGACCTAAACCATGAATAAAGAAGAGTTTGTTTAACTCATAGTTTTAGATGCAGAACCTCCCATATGCTGAATCTTCATCTGTCTTTACTGTGAAGACTCTCTTGCATGTGGTACAATATGTTGTGTTAATAAAGAGAGAACCAGTTGTAATTTGAGCTGGCCAAGAATATGGTTGTCTTCATTTGATAACAGGTGACTATTATGAGAACTGCCTCACTGCATGAGTATCTTTAACCCTCTGGTGAGCAGTGGTATAACCACCAATCCCATAATATAATCACTTCCCACAAGTCACCTCTTCCATTGGCCAGGTTCATCCATTGGGGCAGCAGTACAAACATCCTGCATGTGCTCTTCTTTCCTTCAAGTGAAGTAGAGACTAAAATCTCTGAGACAAACAAACAGAGACTGATTAAATTAGATTGAGA